ATTTGCCTCTATACCATTTTCTGCGCAAATTGATAATACCGGTGTTACAGAGGGTAAAAAATTTACGATTTACAGGAGCCGCAGTAATCTTACGCCTACGCCGCGACAACTGACAAAAAGTAGTTAAGAGTGACGGAAAATCAGACTGAATTGTAGCGGATGACGTGGGCAAAGGAAATCATATGAGCCAAATAGATTCGAGCGTGAACGTGATGTGAACATAGACACTCAGTAGAACCAATCAGATATGGAATAGGTCATCACGTGGCAAAAGAAATGTGTCAATATACTATGCTTGCTAGTATTCTACCGATATATCTCGAAATTACCCCCCAAATCAACTGATATGTATCATGCCCTCCCCAACTATCGGGGCCGATATCGTAGTTATACTTCGTTTGCGAAGGAAATGAGCGCTAGATTCGCTCGGAACACGACGAAAGCTTTTACAAATTTATTCTATTCACCCAAAAAACGGGGTGTGGTTCCATCTATCGTGAAAAGCAAATCACAGTTATGTTGGAATACTACACTTGTTCCCTTATCTAGTAGTCCACAATTGGTTTATGTACACCTAATGACACTATAATTGAGTAAAATACAAATTGTAATGTTGCATTAATTGTAGGGCTGAAAAATGTCATTTATGCTTCGCCGTAACTCGCTAAGGCTGCTTTCCCCCTGCCTTAACTCGCGCCAATATGGCGGGTTCCTTGCTCTGTGCATGGGCCGTAAGATCGCTGGCCGTAAGTTAAGGCGCCTTAAGGAGATATGGCGCCTTAACGCGTTTGAAAATCCGGCCCCATGGGAGGCATGCCTTGCCAGTCCACCTTCCTAAAACAGCCCCCAATGGTACTGTTCTCTGTGAATAATGGGCTGTCCGGGTGTAGGCTTGTAACATTCACTCTTTGTGACATCATGATCAACTACCGCTACTCTTGGAGGTAACTGGAGTGACTGTGGCACAATAAGTTTGAGTGTTAACCCTGTTACTGGTCGAGCTGTAGCTATAGTCACCATCTCCAGGGGTTAGCCATTGTAATCTCCAGCAAACTTCAGCCTTCAAAAGTGGAGGTTAATCCAGCCAATGAGCGTATAGTGGCATTCTGACTGAAGCATACATTTGGTTTCATGTCTCTTGTTGGTACTGAAAGAGTTATGAGGTGTGGTGGGGGCCTGTCTAGTTTCTCCCTGGAGAATTCAGGAGTGAGACAATGTTGTCTGTACTACAACTTTGTATGTACCAGGTAATGGGTAGAACTATTTTACATTCATTGGGCATCATTTGGCAACATCCAGGTCACTGCCCTTGACTTGGTTGAATATGTTGCCATCCTGAGTCTCTGGAAACCTTAGTATCGACTCTTGATGCATTTGACAATGGGGCAAAAGGGTACCCTTTGGATCAGGATGTTAGGGGCCTGCTAGGAGCTGTACAGGTAGTATGCGCTTGCGGCGAGGATGTTGAAGTCACACAGATAGTTTCATACCTTAGTACAGTTCATAACTGGGCTGTCAGACCAGAAAATCAGTAAGACAATGGCCTAGCAGTAGATGTTATGAAGTCATTCGACTACAGTATTTGGAGATGCCAATATACCCGCCTCCAATTAGGCCGCGTTTGGAACCTCCGAGGCCTTCAATGCCCACAATGCAACCATCGCGAAAGTAAACATTCTATCTTATCATACCGGTGTCTTTATTTTACACGCTGCATAAGTTCTGTAACTGCTTGCATGCAACTGACAAACACAATAATATCCTTTGATAACATCAATAAAGGGCAATAAATTTATCTATGAATATCTTATATGAAAGATGGAATAATGCCATACCGCATTGATATCATGACCATATAACCTCTTCGAAAGGGATTCGAACCCCCACCGCCATTGCTAGGAACTTGCAAGACAGTCACTTTAACCACTGATGCACAACCCACTAAAAGGATTGTGTAACTAGGAGCTAACATCCATAGGTATTACCTACCTACTCCTGCATGACCAACAACCTATCTCTATCTCTACCATTTCCGGTTATTATACCTCCTATAGTGCCATATGACCGCACATTAATTTCACCTTTAACCATTAACTTAACTGAACTTACTCATACATGAGTATGGATAGCGAAGTTTTACACACAATCCCCATGGGCACTCGGTATATATAGAGAGAGCAGTTCAAATCCCAAATCAGAAATCCTGAGGTGCATTCAATATAAGATGGAACAATTCATACGGCATTGATATCATGCATATATATAACCTCTCCGAAAGGGATTATATATAAGGGATTTTATATATACCGATTGCCCACAGGAAGTGTGTAAAACTTTGTTATCCTTACTCATGTATGAATAGGTAGGTAACGCATATGGATGGTAGATAGCTCCTAGTTACGCACTCGTATTAGTGGGTCGTGTATCAGTGGTTAGAGTGACTATTTTGCAAGTTCCTTGCAATGGCGGTGTGAGTTCGAATCCCTTTTGGAGAGGCTATATATTCATTATATTTGCTTAAAACTGTCATTGTTTACATACAAATGCTATTGAGACAGTCTCGACTTGCTCGTCCTACTGGGAAGGTGGTCGAGATGGACAACTTGTCCAGGACGAGAAAGTAGAGGTCAAACATCTTGTCCAACTTGTCTGGACGAGCAAGCAAAGGAGAATTAGAGTGAGTGTAAGGGAGTAAATGAAACAGAAACAGTGAGAGTGAATACCAGTATATATGTGCATTTTTTGTAGGTGCGTATGATTTTCTTATTGGATCAACTATTCAAAATTGTGATCTGGGTCGTGCCAATTAATGAGTCACCAAATCATCAATGTGGCAGGGGGGGGGGGGCGCTAGGAGACGGAGACTGGAACCCAATACATGGGATCACCCCTCACTTGTGCCTCAGCCCTTGACCCAACAAATTTTGCACCGTCCTTTCTCCTCCCCTCTTTTGTTTCCTTCTCATCTCCAACCCCTTCCACTATCCACTTCTTAAGTGTGAGAGCCGTATTGAAAGGATGAAAGGCTGACTTTGTGCCTGTCATGAACGACGACCTGTTTCGTGTCTAGCCCTCAAAGGGGACCATGATAGGTGGTCAATTTCACTCCCCAACATAACTACAAGCTTACCATGGCCAGTAATAGAGACTTTGTACACTTGTTAGGGGAATTGCTTTCCCTTTTTTTCAAATAGCCCAGTGACTTCAATTCTCTCGGTTCCCCA